AAGTGGCGGTCGCTCAGTCGGTATAGTTCGCTTGCGGACTACAGGGCAGGGAATTTGTTATATCATTGTTGCATTATTGACGATGTGCTTAAATAATAAGAATGATATGCTAGGCCTATGGAAACGCAGAAGGAATTATATTTGATAAATAGCTTTATGTCTTGCTGCAGTCTTTCCTCNTGTGTGTGTGTGTTTGGTTGATGGTTCACTCATAGAGAGATGAAAATACTTTCCAAATTTTACTGTACATATATTTAAGAGACAAAAAGCCGCGCGCGGTTTGTCGAGTGTTGTCGCTCGCGGCCGTTATTTGTATTGCTTTTATGAGCCGCCCGCGGTTAAGTTTTGGAACGCGGCACACAGGCGGCAGAGCTGTCGCACGCCTAATATGTACAACTAATGGACGCGCGCGACAAGGAGCGGCTAGCCGCTCAGGACAATACAACATGAAAGACACCCAGGCATATCTCAGTGCTCCAAGTTGGATTGGAACCCACAATTCGAGCTCACGCACCTTTGATAGGGTGGCCATTTGATCGGTTTATATTTATTTCCTGCTTAAAAATGTCGTTACTTTTATCCGGCGAGACAACCGCTTACGCATGCGAGAAAAGCTGAGTCTGCTATGCCTGTGTTTACATCACTGAGCCTGCAGCAGTGTGTTCAGCAACAGAACACTTAATCAGCATTTTCAATAGCTGGGCGTCTAAATTGTAACACGACATAACTTCGCAAGTAACTGAAAACAGAGTACTTGGTTATACGTCTGTCAATAAAATCACGAAAGATTCATACTGTGGCCTTCTGGTGCATGGCACTGTTGTCTGGCAGATAGTTATCAACAATTCAGAATAACATGCTGCCTGGCTCCTACTCTTTAGTTGAAGCCATATATGAGTTTTCTTTTACCTGTCAGACACAACAATATGCCAAACAACTCACCCACATTTCACTGTGCGTAACTGAGTTTATTGGTCCTAGAATGTCACAATATTCTTCGGCTCATGGAGGCGATACTTAACTACTGAATGATTCCTCCTATATGAATCCATATATTGTAATTATCATTGTGTGTTAGCAATAAACTGAAAAATATGGTGCGCTTCTTTCTCTTTGGTTCAGCACCTTTATTATGCACAGATTAAGTGTTTGTGTTGGTTTATTCCCTGCTTTCTACCGTCAATGCGAGTGCAGTTCGGCTTATAGTTCTTGCCTTGCTCCTAAATGCTGTCTACCCTCACGTTGTTTATATTGTTGTTTGATTGCGGTTGGCTATGTTTTGCTACTAAGTTCATTTAATATTTTCTTATTAGGACGTTTTCTTGTATTATCTCATTAAATTACGTTGTCTCCTTAATCATGTCCTTCCACGATCTGACTATAATTGTGTTGATGGGTTCGTATTCTTTATTCGATCTTACGCTAACGCGTCTGTTTTCATCTCCTGTTGGGTTTCAGCTGTGACACGTCACGACTAACAGAGGAAATCTATACATTATTTTAATTTATTTGAACTAACGGAGAAATCAACCACTAAGAATATTTAGAATACGGTATTTCCATCGGTTGAACATTTAACAAAATTTCAACCTATTAATACTTTTTAAATATTTTAAGACTCTTAATAAGTTTTAAATAGTTATTGAACATACTTTTAAAGCAGTATAAAAACACAACCACTTAATCTATGCATATAAAGGTGATTAATGAATGGAAAAGAAGCATGCCATATTCTTCGTTTTTTTTTTGAACACACAATGATACTGTCACGTGTAGGGGGGTACACGTGACGAAATGACGAGTTCTAGTTCTTATGATTGGATTTATTAGCACTTAGTTACACCCTATCTCTTAATTACATTTACATACAGCGCTATCGCTGATTTACATACACTTCATAATTCACTGTTACACGCATACAGTACTCCTCTCCTGGTAATGCATTTAAAATACAGGGAGTTTGCTTCCGCCACTAGCTCCACTGCTACAACTACTACTTCCACCACTGCTCGTTTCCGTCCGGTCTGACCCTTGCCATGTAGCTTCGATTTGGACAGTATGGAAACGTCGCGATGGTCGCGATCAACAGTGCGGTTGCGTCATCAAAGCGTCAATGACGTCATCGCGTAGGAAACACATAAAGTGACGCCACATACTGTTGTGTGACGTCACAGCGCGCCTGTTGCATGGCGACAGCCCGTCCGCGGAAGAAGAAAACATCGTTCCCATACTGTTGGCCGCGTGTGTGTTGCGGGCGTTGTCTAGCAACGGGTATACACGCCAGAAAACGTACAATATATGGATCCATATTTATTTTTTCGATGGCTCTTCTACACCATTCAGGGCCCTAGCCTCATATTCAGTTCTGTAATCAGTTCTCACAGACGGTAGGACTCCTTGGGCGAGTGATTAGCCCGTCGCAAGGCCTCTACCTAAACAGCGGACAACCCAAACACAGAATAAACGCATATGCACACCAAACAACCATGCCTTGAGTGGGATTCGAACCCACGATCCCAGGGTCCAAGCGTGCGAAGACAGTACATGCCTTAGACCGCGCGGCTACTGTAATCGGCATATGAATCCATATAGGTGATATAATTCAGTAGTATAAGATTTGTTAATGTATCGCCTGATAATCGCTCTGTGAGTCGAAATATGTTGCGACATGATTCTGTATTTCAGCATCCCGTTTCAATTGTTCAAATTAGCGTCCATTGTTTACCTTCCGTCAATGCTGCGACATTGTACGACCAATAAACTCAGTTATGCACCTTGAAATGTGAGCGAGTTGTCAGGTATATTGTCGTGTCTGACAAAAAAAAGCAAACGCATATGTAGTACTAACACACAACAGGATGCATCCCTTAAAGATTGATGCCATATGTCGCCCCACAAGGTGATAGTCACTTACCAGACTATACTGTGCCACATCATCGAATACCTCAATAATAATCTTGGCCACCGTGTAATCCTCAGGTGTTTGGATCTTATCAGTTATCACCACGATTAGTGCTACTGAGGGAGACCTTAGTGCAGAAAGCGAAATTTGTTTTATAGAAAATTCCACGGGTTAGATCCAGGCATGTGGCCGAACACCAGCCTGCCCGGTGCGGCAACTGAAGTTGTGGTATCGATCTGTAGAGTGTGGTGTAGTGTTATGAACACACAGACTTTTCTTCCTCTAATATTAGAAACATAAATCTGGAAGTCCCTTCGAGCCCAGGTGTGAGTTGCTCAGCGGGCGGTAGTAGGTTCAAGGAGTCGCAAACTTCTTATGAAGACTATAGACCAGAATGCCTCATCTCTAGCGTAGCCACAGACATGATAATAAGAACTAAGTTAAACATTCTGTAGAGCTTGTCCCGTACCGATATTTGAGAAATTCTGATAATATTAATTGTCTTGCTCCTGCCGAGAATTAACCCCGAATCCTCGGCCATCCAGCCGGTAGCCCTTCCCTATTCAGACTGACTTATCCCGAGTCCTACTTTGTTCAAGTACAGGCCTGTATAGGAGGAAAGGGATAACCAACTGAAGCAAGGAGAATATTCGAGCCTGAAAATAAAGACAGCATGTTCCTCCGAAACGTCGATGAACTTCAACCGGACTATATGGCGTTATATTCCAGATGATAATACTCCCCAGTCACCGCTGTGAGCACCTCAAATCCATCGAAAAATCGTCTGGCAGTCTCGACGTCATACTCAGTTTCGCGTGGCAGTCCCAGTGGACTAATCGATTTATCATACGCTCTCTTTCACTTCTTAGATATCCGTCTCTAAGTCATCCGAAAGTTTTTTCTTCTAACTCACATCCTCTGTTTCGTGCATTAACCATTCATTATCTACTGACGTCACGTCTCCTTTGAACGTTTATAATGCAGCCCTTCTTCCCACCTCCAATGTCTATTGGTCCTGTCTCGTCCTTCTTCCTGCTTGCCCTCTGTTGTGTTTTTCAAAACCTAAGTTATATTTCAGTTTTATTATTAATTGTGAACTACGTTTGGTTTTTCCCTGGAGTCGACTCAGCCTCTAACATAAATCAGTACCAGGAATGTCCCTTGGGATAAATGCGATCGGCGCGTGATGCTGACGTCACCATCATCTGTGAGCCGATTGTCTAGAAAATGTGGGAGCCTCGACGTCTTACAACCCTACGGGCCTCCGCGGCTTCTTACAGTAACTTAAGTCGTGGCCATTTAGTTGAAATTTCGAACTAGGGTACCATCTCAGCTTTTGCTCATAGACATAGGAAAATGAAGAAGACTTCTATCCAAATGGCTGAGCGGCTGAGAGAGGAAAACAAATATGTGGGTCTAAGCCATAAAGCCAGTACCAGCACCTACCAGGAGTTTCTCTCTTCTAAAAGCGTAAAAAACGCCAAAACAGCAGCGAACCTGATCCAGTGGTACCTCAAGGCAGCAGCAGGAAATCTGAACCCCCCCCCCCACACCACCCCCTTATGCCTCTTTTTCCTATTGAGCCGATTTCCTTCCGAAAAGGCATCAAACAGTTTCTGTGGAATCGGCCTTGCTATAAAAACTAATTATTTGTTATATGAAGAAGAGAGTCGACCTACTGTACACAAACGTTACTCAGTTTTACAGTGGTGTGACTTGTATCTATAATAAAACAATATTAATTTACGAACATTAATTCACTAAGTGTTTGTTAAATGTTTAAATGTCATTAAAATGATTAAAATGCATGTGTATTGATGTTTATGCTACATGTTTCGGCCGCGTAGGGCCACCTTCAGGCAACACATCTTTTAATGGAGTCTACTGCACCGTGCACTTGGTCAACTGGCATTCATTAAGGGACGTTGTCATTGTTATTATTATTATCTGAATTATGTTCTTGTTTGATGATTTTCTTATCTTATATATTGTTGCTGTTTTCCTGTAATGTATAATACATGTTATTAATTGAATTCTGTTCTGAATGTTTTAAGTTCTGTTACCTTTGTGTATGTAGATGTTGTATTTTTGTACTTACGTGTCCCACTGAGAGTGCTGCTCGCTTAGTTGTATGTATCTAGTGTTGCTGTTTGTTCCTTGTGGTGGTCGGGCAGTTTCTGATCTTTGCAAAATACTGTCCGAATTTACTGGCTGCTTTGAAAGTGCAAGTGAAGTAGGATTATCCAATAGGCCTCTCTGAGTGTCTCATCCTTATTTCTGCATGCTGAAAATGACCAAGCAGAAGCAAGATGATCCAGAATGTGGCGATTATTTTATCACGACGCCGTAATGAAAGATTTTACTGATTATAACGGCAATTTCTAATAAACTAACTGTTTATTCATTTCTCCTAATTTAAAAAATAACTGAAAGAGGCTGACAGCTGACAGACAAGAATTTAATTGAAACTGAAAATGGCATATCTTGTAAGTTGAACAATAATTTACTAAGCTGAACTTAAATGTTTATTTCCAGGGACACGCAAAAGTAACAACCTAGCCGTTTATTAAGTATCACTGTTTCAGTATGACAGTGCACCAAGGAATTCGCCAGTAAGCTCAAACAGATTATCACTTACAGTGAAGTCGCCATTTTCAGAATCTTTCTTTAATATCGCCGAATTTGTTGACAGGATACAAGGTTGCGGAAGGGTTAGTAGTCGCACATGAACAGTAACGGTAGACCGCTGTTTCGATTCCCTATACGAGCATTCTTGTATCTTGTATCTCTTCACAGCCACTATTATCAAAACGGAGTTCACATTTAACCGTTACAGGAGCAGTTAACAAACCTCCGAACCTCATATTTTCATCTAAGACTGTTTTGATTCAACGCAGAATTTGAAATCATTAAACGAAAACATTCTAAATTATTTTTTTCGTGTCAATGTTATTCTCCACAAACTTAAAAATAAATTGTATAAGTTTCAAGAGATCTGAGGTTTCATGATGTGAATATTTTTTGCGGTATTCTGAGCTGACACTTTATGTTCTAACAAGTGCGTCAAAATTTCGGAAGATAGAGCCTCCATCAGCATGTTCCTCTGAGCGTCGTTATCAACATATCAGACTACACGGTGTCATATCCCAGAAGATCGTATTACGATATAAGTGCTGCTTCTCTTATCTATGGTCTTCCTAATCGCATAGTTGAGAAGCAGGCCATTATTAATTTCGTTAAATTTTAAAAGTGGGCGTCCTCTGTTTTCAGTTCCGGTGGAGGCGACGGCGTTCCTGGGCGCCGTGGCTGCTTTCGTGGTGCTGCTACTGGTGTTCTTCCTCTACCTGAACAAGAAGTGGTGCTTCTACAGCATCGGCGGCTTCCCTTGCTGCGACGAGCCCCTCGGCCCCAAACCTCCCCGCTCCAAAGAGCTCGGTAAACCTCCACCTCAACTGTACTTCTAAGCCTTCTTTTAATATAAGTGCTCATACTTCATTCCAGTCATTTCAAATTTTCTCTGAAGTAAAACCTATTATGTTTCTTATTTAATTAAATTGCACGGGGAACTTCAAGGATTCTCTGAGCCTTCGTAACAGTTTACAAACGGCATGCGGATATGGCAGCTGGAAAACATACGGAAAGCCAGAAGAACAAAATTAATTCCTAATATGTGGCGTACTAGCTTCTGTGAACAAAATACAGTTTCGAAAATTTTATTAGTCCTATAAAACACATCCTTCAGTATTTACAGTCAGTAGATCCCATGCATATCTGTGTTGCATGTAACTGGTACCGGGTGACGCATTTCCTTCACCTATATCTACGGCAAAAAATTGTTTGGTAAATGCATTTTGCTTTGTTCTAAAACTAACACTTCAGTATCTGTAACGAGAGATGCACGAGATAGGAATCAATTCTGGATTTATCTTCTTCTTTGCCTTTGGTGCCACAGACAGAGTTAGGCCAGGAACTCTGCCCACTAGAACACAGGGGCGATCGAAATTGTATTACTGAATGATAAAAATAATTGTTTTACCATTTATTTTGTAAAGCTGTAAAAGTGCGTCACTATACCTGAGAGAACATTGGACCACGCGGTAGTATATTTGGTTGAGGCACTATGCTATAAGCCGGAACGTCGCGGGTTAGGTTCCCGATGTCATACAAATTTTCAGTTGACCTAATCCTTCCAGCTGCATTATGTCGTTGGGGTCGACTTAGCCCCTAACAGAAATGAGTACCAGGAGTCTTCCTGGGAGTAAAGGGCGGCCGGTGGGAGCGTATTGCTGACTTTATTGCCATTTGTCTATAAAATGTGGGAGACTCGATGTCTCACCCCTATGGTCCTCCACGGCCTGTTACAAGGATGGCTCTACCCCTTTACGTGAGAGAACATATAGAATCCAAGCCTATGTGCTTAGAACGAATTTGTCACAAACTATATGGAGCTAGGAGAGGTAAAAATATATTTGGTATGTGAAACTAAGGATGGTCTGTAACAAGGAACGTAGTAATTTATAGAGGTCATGAACTCGGGGAATATTCTTGGGGAGGCGTAGTCGTGAAGAATTTAATGGAGGAAAAATATGGACAGAGAATACTGGCGGAAACTTTTGTTAAGAAACAGCCAATTCGAAGAGCGGGAAGAAAACTGAAAAATAATATTACATTCGATATTTGGACAATAAGGTGTCAGGATATGAAGTGAGTACGAACTGCTGAGAATATTTGCCAAGTGTCGATTTCAGTGTTAATAATGTTGAACTTTTGGATCCTATTATAAGGAAGTTTGTTTATTAATTGGCTTAGAGCGTATTATGCCAATTCTGTTGTCATGCACATTCAGCGCAGAGGTCGAATTATCTCTTCCATTAAAGGACATGTCGAGTGGAGTCTTATGTTACGACCGACGGTCAGTCGGCCAGTCTATGTTGGAATAAAGCACCCATCCGTGGCTTACGACCAGATATTTATTACTGTCAGACAGCTGCGGGTTTGTTGATGTGGGTCTCTCTCTCTGACGAGAGGACGGGTCTGTCGTTTACAACTGCTGCTGGCCTTTGCTAGCGCAGTCTTTCTCGGGTCCGTGTCCCGTGGGACTCGCGACCATATTTTACGGCATCATATTCGAGAATTCCCTTTTCGTCGCCTCCTACGACTCGCAGGGTTACGGTGGAGGTGTTCGACCCCGCCTCCACACGGCAGAAAGGACAATGTTTCCGATGTTCCTGTATTATCCTTGCAACGCGGCAGTTTGATCTTATATTCAAGGAAACACATAAATAACCTGAGTAAGGAGAAGAATCTTCATGTTAAGTCCTCTGTCACCGCCTCTTCATTTTACCGATGGAGGAGCCACTTTCCGGGTGTGGAGAGCACCAGTGAATATATTTAACAAACAGCCGAAAATATACAGTCCTCCTGCATGTGGACTGGGCGGGGATCTAACAATACTCTGCCAAATAGTGGCGCGTGGGCCTCGGACGTGGACGGTCGGATAGAGTCCAGTGGCGAGTCCTAGTGAGCATGATAATGAACATAATGAACGTCCGGGACGCGTGAAAGGCAGGATTGGCAGGCAGACTAGCAGAGCTCCACACAGTTACATTAGATTAAGAAAAATATATGCTAAAGGAGACCGTGCCGGAACGTGGCCTCAGTTGTCAAATACGTAGCACAGTAAAGGGGCTGTTAAATGTAAAGTCATCCTTGTAACAGTTCTTTGAGGCCCATAGACTTGTGAGACATCGAGGCTCCCACATTTTCTATTAGGTGTCGGTGAGGTTAGCCTTACGTGATGTCCGGCCACCCTTTAGCCCCCAGGAAGATTCCTGGTACTAATTTCTGTTAGAGGCTGAGTCGACCCCAGAGCCATAGTGCGGCTGGAAGGATTAGGTCAATTAAAAATTCCAATGACCTCATCGGGAATCGAAGCCGCGACCTTCCGGCTCATAGACCTGGAAATATCAGTTTAGCAATCGATGAATCGACGAAGAGAAAAACAGATCGTAGGCTTATACCCAGTCTCCATTCCCTTATCCTTGCCAATGACACTTAACTGCTCCAATATATACCTATAACCCTTCCAACGAAAAGATTGATTTTCGGGCTATTTAACGAAATCTTATCGATTAAAATAATTTTCATCTTCAAAGAAGTCCACTGGATTGGGTACATGACAACGCAGCATTTGAATTCCTAAACACTAGAAAACAAAGGCAGTGGAGGTAGTCTTCAGCTCCATGTATGCTCAACCTCGACACGAGATAGACATGAGTGGTCAACTTCACAATCCGGTCTTTTCACCCGCTGAAAGAGCCCCTACAACAATCGCATAAAAGGCCGAGTGAGTTCAGAGTGCCCTGGACGTAACAGCAAAGAGAGAAATGCTTGCTCCGGCCGAAAATCAAGCCCTGATTTTACAGCTCACAATTTCAATATAGACGCGAGCTTTCCCGGTTCGTTACGTTTTATATAAATAACGCCATGAAACGGAGTCCTCGGAAATTAATAGTCACTCAGCTAGTCACAAAACTACTACCCACCTTTCATGTAACACGAAGGTCCACTACTATGCTCACAAGGATCACGGAGTTCTATGTAGCTGATAAAAATATGGTTTCGGTGTTCTAAGAAAAACAACTTTACTGCTTAAGTTTGTAGCGCAAATCTAACGGATTCTAACAGTTTCAATAAAATGAATGTTAGTGCTTTAAGTCTCGTAACTATAAATGTTAAACCAATTATATCTACAAGTTTGATAGATTTATCCGAAAACTAATATACTTAAACATCTCTTTCAGTTCATGTATTTATAATTCATTACTAGAGACAAGATGTTCTGTTTAAATCGCAAATTCATCACAAATCGATACCCTTGAAGTCGCGGTCGAATCGTTACCACCCCTGCTTTGTATTCGGAAGTTTCCGAACCCAAATCTGGGTTGGAAACCGGCTATCGTGACTGATGTTTACATGATTTTTCTCAGTCTCGCCAAACATATCGGAATATTACCACAAATTGGATAAGTACTTCTTTATTCCTCATCCATTCCAATTCTTTATTCACTAATTACCTTATCATTCGACGTTATGTGACCTTAGGAATTAAAAGCGTCTTTACATAAACAACCAAGAATATGTAAGTTTTGAGGTTTTCACGGCGATGACTATGAAAAAAGTCGTCTTCTGGGTTTAGGCGCCGTGTATTCTTCGTTTTGGCCGACGTTTAGGAGGAACGTATCGCCTCCATCTTCAGAGCAGTTGAATGGCTTGGAATGCAGAGAGCAGTAGCTGTAGTGATAGGAAGTGACAGCGCCTTTCACTTCCTATCACTACAGCTACTACTCTCTGCATTCCAAGCCATTCAACTGCTCTGAATATGGAGGCGATACGTTCCTCCGAAACGTTGGCCAAAACGAAGAATACACGGCGCCTAAACCCAGAAGACGACTTTCTTCAACCAAGAATATGTTTAACAAAATGGTATTTGTGTGGAAATAAATCTGGCTGCTACTGTTTGATGTAGTTTCTTTAACGTAGCGCTAAGAGCGCTTATTGGGGACCGCAGGGCACATGCGCCGTGACCGGATATTTTATTACGCAGGAGCGTTAAATATTTCATAAGGCTTCGCTTACGTACATGGGCTCCAGTCACCACTCCTACAGCAGTCTTTGTCCTGCATTGTTTCCACTGTGAGTTAAAGCAATGAGAAAAACATAATTTGTATATCGATACAAAAGCATATCTCGATTGTATTTGAATACTTATTTTGTGTTCAGAGTGCAATTTAAGACTGAAAAAAAATAACTTCGTGTTTACCTTAAGACCGTAAAAATTGTGTGAAGGTCTGATAAGATAATTTCTTGGCTTATATAAATATATCATTAACCCATACAACTACCTAAGTAGTACCAATACGAGTTTCGACATGGACGTAGAAATTATTCTAATTTACATTCTTACGTAGTAGTGTTCGTGGTATTTGTAATGGTAGTATCAGTGACAACATTCGTACTAGTAACAGTTTTCATAAACTAGTAGTAGCATTGTAGTAGCAAAATGCCCGCACAATAGGTAGTGACATTAGCAGCAGAACAGCTTGCTGTTGTACTGTAGTGGTTGTTACACCTGCTTGGATTTGGAGTCTGACAGAAGACGAATGGCATACTACATTTCCTTCAGGCAAGTGCCAGGATAAAATAAACGACACCTTCCTTCTGCTCCCCCCAGCAGTATTAAGATAATTATTACTGGATGTCACATAACTTCTATAGGTGAGAAATAGTAGAGCCGTGATACTGAAGTCGGTATAGCGACTGTCTACGAACCGAATCACCGAGGGGTCGGAGTTCGAGTCCCGGCAGGGTCAAAAATTTCTCTTCTCCACATCATCCAGGCCGGCTCTGGGGCCCACCCAGCCTCCTAGCCAATG